ACATTGGAATGGATATTTGAGTATTCTTCAGTTCATGATTGGCATTATGATTTAATTTGAGAACATAGTTCAGTCATTAATTTGTAGTTTTTTGGCATTTGTTTGTTCTTCTGAATATATTGCTTTAAGGTCATTGACAATTTTGTCATTCGGCGCTTTCAACTATAAATTATTTAACTGTTATACCAAACGATGGACTATTTCCTAACTTATTCATTGTTATCTTTTGGATGTTTCTTGGTTTAAATATCATCTTCTTATAGGAAGGGGCTTCATTAGCGTTAAAGAAACACATCGAAGAAGCAGCTCGTGATCTTAATGGAGAAGCATTTTCTCGGTTCATGGATCAATTATATGATCGTATTTCTATTCTCTTAGAAAGTAACGATGTGGCTGAAAATTTGGGGGCTTTAAGAGCTATTGATGAGTTGATTGATGTGGCTCTTGGTGAAAATGCTTCGAAGGTTTCAAAGTTTTCTAATTATATTAGGAATGTATTTGAGTTGAAGCGTGATCCTGAAATTTTGGTCCTTGCTAGCCGAGTTTTGGGTCATCTAGCTAGAGCAGGTGGAGCAATGACTGCAGATGAAGTTGAACGTCAGGTTTGTGTCTTTCATCAATGAAAAGTTAGTATCTTGCTAAACAAAAAACGTCAGGTTTGTGTCAATTTGTCGATATTTAATGCATTTGGTTGGAAAAAGTAAGTGCTGGATACCTGGATTATCTTCTTTTCTCAGGTAAAAGTTGCTTTGGACTGGTTGCGTGGGGAAAGGGTTGAGTATCGTCGCTTTGCTGCTGTCTTAATTCTGAAGGTAAATTCAACATTTTTATTTTAGTAAAATTTGATTATTAACCTTATAATTGGATCTATTTATGAACTTTAATGCATGTATATATTTTTTTTCCTGGTTGGAATTGTTAGATACTAAGAGATTGTTTTATATATAGATGTGGTTCTGATGTTTATGCGATAAAAAATGAAGAAGAGTTTTAGTTTTGATAATTTAGAAAAATGTCATTTTAGATTTTGGTCATGTGAACCAATAAACTCACAAATTCTTTTTCCTTGAAAACTTCTGTAGGAAATGGCAGAAAATGCTTCAACAGTATTCAACGTGCATGTACCAGAGTTTGTTGATGCCATTTGGGTTGCTTTGAGGGATCCACAACTGGCTGTTCGGGAGCGGGCTGTGGAGGCATTGCGAGCTTGTCTTCGTGTTATTGAGAAGCGTGAGACACGTTGGCGTGTGCAATGGTCAGTTATAGATTATTAATGTTTTGTTAATTTTTTCCTTGATTGAGAAATGAGTGTTAAAAACTTAACATAGTATAAATAAGTATAAGAAGTTAAAGAATATGAGGTAAGAAGATAAATAATTTTCTCGAGGAAAACTAGCATACTAAACATTTGCTAATCTAGAAGACAATGGGGCAAACGACGTGCTCTAAAATCTAAAGGCTTCATATTTTAGACTAACAATTAGCAAATAACTTAACTCTATCCTAAGCATCTTCAATATTGTGATATTTGTTAAAACTCTATCATTCCTCCCCAACGAAATGACCCATTGGAAAGCAACAATTTCACTGTTTCAAAATATCCTTTTGTGTTTTCTATATTCCTAAAAGTATCCCAACAAAAGAGACATATTTCTTAGGAAAGCCCACGGTATAGTATAATACTCCTACACTAATTTGGCTGAAGAGATAAAATAACCTTTTTTTTGCAACTAAATTATAAATACTCAGATCATTCCAATGTTTAAAGAATAACCTATATTTTCTTTGAAGGAATACCCTGTAATCACACTAGATGAGGCCCGAAAAATAGAAGATGAAGAATGGAGGGAGGTAAAGGAAATTCTCTAGTGGATGTTTGAGATAGACATCAACATTGGAGGCTAGATAATGTGAGGCAGGAATGAAAAACTTTTGAAAGACGATTGTGTTTGGGTGAAAGAATATAATTGCTATAATTTAGATATTTGTGTTTGAAATGCATGAATAAGTTTTAGAAGTTTGAGAATGAAATACATGTTTGGTTTGTTGCTTTAGAGTTTAAGGATTAGTTTTGAAAATATTTGACTTTATTTATTTTAAATATGGATATTATCTCTCTTTTTCCAAATTGGGAAACTTCTATTTCATTGATGTGATTAAACATACAAAAAGAAAGGGAAAACACTTCCCAAAATCTAGTCACCCCATCTCTGTTGTAGTTCTCCAATCATCAGTTGCCAGTGGACTCATTGGCTATGAGGGAAGCATTACGGATCGGTCTCCCTTTGACAAAGTTAATTGGTACTTTGTAATAGTGTGGGAATCATGATTTAACCTTTATGATAAAACTCTAGCCAAAATTTTGTAGTCACATGGGATAAGGCTCAGATGGTGGTAACCATGAGCTATTTCAGCATCTTTTTCTCTTTCAGGATAATTAAATAAGATTTGCTGAGAGTAGTATTCATGATCTTTTTTTTTTTGATATCCGTGAGTATCCTGGCCAGCTTACGCGCACCTTGACTGGTCTCACGGGGCAATCGCCTGACCCTACAACATTTGGTGTCGGGAAATATATAGGAATTACTAATTCTTAAGGTAGGTGGCCATCATGAGGTTTGAACCCATTCCCTCTTAATTAACCCTAGCCTCTTTGGACCAGTAAGCCACCCATGATGGTTAGTATTGATGACTTCCTTTCTGAAAAATTGTGGAATATTGCCATAATATCAGACTTGATGATGTAGATGTTCCATGAATTTTTGAAAAAACTAGAAGTAAATTTTTGGCTCTCACAAGGTGTAAATTTGCTGCATTTTACTACTATAGCCTTACTTATCTTAAATCCCAATGGAAATATTTTCCACAATTCCTTGGGACGGATTTTCTCCCTCTTTTGTAATTTCATCTTATCAATGAAATATTTTTTTTAACAAGAAACAAACTTTTCATTGAATTTATGATAAGGAACTATAATTTTCCAAAGATACAAATTCCCATGGGAGTGAGAAGGAAATCAAGAGAAATTAAAGAAGAAACAAAAAGCAAAATAAAGGCAAGAACAATTACAACTTTTGACCAAAATCTTCCCAATTAAGACATATCATGCTAGGCGGTTAATCTTCAAAAAAGTTGGATAGAGCACACTAGTGTGAAGCTTTGACTTTGACCATATTGAAACAATCCACAGCCACTCTTCGTTTTTCTTCAAATATCCTTTGATTTCTTTCCAACCGAATCTCGTATAGCATAGCTTTGAGGCCATTAACCCATAAAAGGTCAGATTTACTGTGATTCGAAAAGTGTTTTCGAGGTGCAAGGAGCACCGCAAGGCGACAAGCCCTTTGATCGCCTTGAGGCGAGAGGCAATACAAAGGTGACGCCCGAGTGAAGCGAGGCTCACCTTAATAAATAAATAAAAATTATATATTGCATAAATTTATATAGTAAACCTTTAAAAAATCAATACCAAAATAGTGCCATAGTAAATGTCAATAAGATACATAAAAAAACCAAATTCTATAAGTTTAGCTCCAAATAAAGACAAACAATATTAAGAAATACTAGATCTGGAATAGAACAAAAGTAAATATAAGTGATCAAAGATCATCGTCCTCATCTAAATCTAAATTCTCTTTCATCTTGGACGTCCTCACAATCTTCCTTTTCCAATTCTTCTTCTTCTTTGGTGTCATCATCATCACCACTAACCACCACTAGCACTGATTTTCGAACTCTCCTCTCTCTTCTCTCCTTCACGTTTTTGCGTGAGTCTTTCTAGAAATTTTTTGTCCAGAGTTCAATTTTAGCATCAATTCAGCTTAGATCAAAGTCCCCAGAGAGGTCTTGTATCATGGAATTAAATAGTCGTTGGGTAGAGAAATCATATTTTCGATTAAGGTTAGATGACTGGCTTTATGTGGAACATACTAGTCACAAAGAGGTTTTGCCATTGAAATTTCGCAGTTAGCCTGATTTGAGGTTCAATTGGTTTAGTTGATGCAGTTGCTGATGCATTTTTTCTTTTCTCATTAAAAAAGAGATGATTTTGGTGTGTGTAAGATTCAAAAAGCCGAGTATGATGCAAGATGGCATGTCGTTTTGATGGTTTTGTTGCCAACTGGTGCAAGGAAAAGGATTGCCATTGCTGCTGGATCTAGAAAAAGAGGATGACTTAGGTTTTGGAATATGGTTAAGGATGGTCTAGAACGAGCAAAAGTAGCAGCTAGAGGGAAGGAGGATTCAAGGATGTTGGAAGGTTTCAAGGGTAAACAAATTTGGGAAGATAGAGCATTCTTTTGCCGAGGTTCTTAAAGAACTGTAGAGATTTCAGAGATGTAAGGGAAGTCATGTTTAGTGGGAAAGATGTCAAAACCTTTGAAACAAAAGGGGACTTGAAGCATTTTGAGGTTTTGAAGCACTATTGGGTTAGAAAAGAGTCTGAAGTGTTAGAGATGGATTGAGAAAATGTCATGGTAGTCACAAGACTTTGAGCACATGATAATTGGATAAAAATAGCAGACGTTTTAAAAGAAAAATTCTCTCAAAGACTGTCAAGTTAATCCCTTTTTTGCTGATAAGGCTTTATTAAGATTTGAAGATGGTAAAATCCTAAATTCTAATTGGCTCAATGGCAAAGGGAGATAATTAGATGGCTTTCACATGAAGCTAGAAAAGTTTAGCTTCGAAGATCATAGTAGAAATGAAGTATCGGTTTGTTATGGAGGTTGGGTTTAAAATTTGTGATTTACCTCTTGGAACAAGCATTGTTTTCAAGCCATTGGTGTTCAACTTGGCGAATTAAAGATCTCATCAAACACTCTAAATATTCTGGATTGCTCAAAGGCCCTGATTCAAGTGGAGTTGAACACATGTGGTTTTCTTCCAACCTCTATTGATATTCATTCGAAATCTGGAATTTTTGTGGTTCTTGTGGACCCCTTGTTTAAAACAGTCAATTATCTCATGAAGATTTTGATTGGTGAATCTTAAAAGTCGTTGGATCTAAAGAGTTTTCATGAAATTTTGGTGGATAAGTTGAAAGTGAGACAACTTTTAAGAAGGAAGAGGGTACGAAAAAGGAGCCATTAATTTTGAAACAACTTCCAATACTTTGGAGGAATTTTCGAAAAAGGAAACGACAACCCCATTAAGTTGTGCGGTAGTTGTGGCTAACCCTAATCTTGTTCCGAATCTTTTGCAGAAATTTTTGAAAGAGGAAAAGGCACTCTCAGATTCCATTGTGGTAGGTGGGTGCAACCATAATTTTGACCGGGATAAATTGCCAAGGAGAAACTTTATTCCTCCCTAACGCTTTTTTTATTCAAGAAGGAAGTTTCCTTCGAAATTTCCTAAGGAAGTGGAAGCCTTAACGACAGTTGATTCTTTCCATTTGAATCAGTGATTTCGAGGCACACCTGGGTGCTCGCCAAAGGCGAGAGGCGAGGCGATTTCACCCCAGTGCGCCTTGCAAGGTGCCCAGGTGAGCGCCTTCAACTGGTTGCTTGCCTTGGCGCGCCTCTCGCCTGATGCAAGGCGATCGCCACGTTGAAGTGAGGCGATCTGTCTTATTTTTTTTAATTTTTAATTTTTTTTTTGTAAATACGTTTAAAAAGTAAAGAAAATTTCCTAAACCCTAATTTCTCATTTTCTCTACCTCTCGACTTTCACCCTCACTCACCCACCTCTTGTTGCTGCTGTCGCCGCCGTCTCTGTGTCGCCGCTACTACCTCCTCCTTCGACTTTCACCCTCACTCGAAGGTTTCTTTTTGTTTTTTTTTCTTTTTAATTATTTAATTCTTCTATTTTATTTGTTTCTTTTCGTCTCTTTCACTTACTAATCTCTTTGGATTGAACAATGAATTGTTTGCCATCCCTTCTGATCTAAACCAAGGAAGGGCGTAGATTTGCCTTCAGAGGCGATGCCAATTCCTCCATATTTTGCGGCTGGGATCACTCTCGTCCCCTTCATTGTTCTCCTTGATGGTTCGTTCTTCGGGGTTCACAAGCAACTTTTTTGTAGCAGATGTCTTTGATGGAAAGTTTCCTTGGTCTTGCAGTAGGGTTTGAAGTTAAAGTTCCAAAGTAGTTGGTCTTTAATGTTCCAATATTTGCTATTCAGTGTTGCATTAGTAAGGTTTTATTTGATCATTTCATGGAGGCAGGTTTGCAGGAAAGTATTGCTCAGTGGCTATCTGAGAGATGATATCTTTGTTGCTTTCTTTGGCGGTTCTGTTGGTTTCTTTGGAGAAAGAG